AGAGAGAGAGAGAGAGAGAGAGAGAGAGAGAGAGAGAGAGAGAGAGAGGGAGAGAGAGAGAGAGAGAGAGAGAGAGAGAGAGAGAGAGAGAGAGAGAGAGAGAGAGAGAGAGAGAGAGAGAGAGAGAGGGAGAGAGAGGGAGAGAGAGGGAGAGGGAGAGAGAGAGAGGGAGAGAGAGAGAGAGAGAGGGAGAGAGAGGGAGAGAGAGGGAGAGAGAGCTTGAGAAACTCAAAAGACAAGTTTTGACTACTCCAAAACTTTACCTAGGGTCAGCCCTGCTACTGATATTCCCTCTGATCCTCTAGAAGACAGAGAGGTAAATAACGATGACATAGTGGAAAGTTCTGACACTTTCCAATTGACTGACGGTAGATAAATTACTTATCTGAATCTCGGACTTTTCATCCATAGTGCGGATGATTATCTATTTCAAAAAGCTGTTGTAGATAATGTACTTTGTACATCTTAAAATTCTATTTAAATGTGATCTATTATTTTTTTATTAAAAGATCTCTTAGAAATCATCATTATACAAAAATCATGAACTATCATAGAATGCTTTCTCCTAACTTCAGCTTGGAATAGTGACATGAAAATATTCCAAACTTGGTCTAGATATCATGGACTATGTCTATTTAACTTTTTAGATAGATGATACAAATGTTACTTGATAACTGTGAATCTTAATAAAATGACATATCTATAGTGATACTGTTGCATTTTTATAACAACTAATTAGAGTGAAAAAATAAATTAATTTTTTTCTCCATCCAACTTCTTTTCCTCCTTTTACCTTCGTCTTGAGTAAATAATTTAATCTTTTTGGTCTGTTTCAATATCCACAGAATAAATGGGTTGAACTAAATGATTTCTAAGGTCCTTTCTGTCTTTAAAGTTCTATCAGTCTTTAAACTCATATGTATTAGGTACTTAACATAGAGCTATGCTATATATTATGTACTTCAAAGGGCTACGTCACGGAACCTTCAGAGATTTTCTTTTCTTCTTATGTTGTAGATATCCTTGTTTCCCAGTTGTGGTGATAATTGTGTACTAAACGAGAATAATTTTCCTGAAGAGGGAGAGATTACAAAAATGTAGAAAGAAAAAGGATGGGTCTAATTTTATTGCAAAAATTTTTTTCATAAGACAATGAACTTTTCCCTTGTCTCTGGGGATTTATTTTAAATGGATTCACAGGTAGTAAATTATTTATGATTGTTTTGGTGACAATGTGGTAGACTGACTATTCTGGGTTCTAATCTGGGTTCTCCTACTGGATGTCACTTCAACTGTCTGGGATTCAGTTTCCGTGTATGTAAAATGAAGGGATTAGATAAGAAACATTTAAAGTCTTTTTTTCTACCTAATATTCTGTAATTTTATGTACTCACCCCTCCAAATCTTCACCCTAAAATATTGCCTACTACTCATTCTCTCTCAATGATTGGCTAAGTCCCTCCCCCCAACCTAAGCTTTCATTAGTCTTTTTTCTGTCTTTTTTTCCTTTGCTATTCATGTCCTTCTTTCTTAGTTTTCATACTCACTTACTTTCCCCAATCTTTTTTCTAGTATTTTCCCTTTGTTGTGGGGCAGACCAGAAGTCAAAAGGCCTAAATTCTAGGTGTGGGGCATCACTTACTAGCTATATAGGCTTGAGCAAGACTGTTAACCTCTATGGCTTCAATTTCTTAATTTGTAAAACAAAGATGATGATATTAACTCTTTCTGTACATTCCTAAGAGAGTTGTTGTAAAGGGCAGCAAATGAATGTGAAAGTTTTCTGTAAACTGTAAAAGCCTGCACCAATTTAAAGGAATATCACTGGTCCTTCTTTTTCTCTCTTTACTTCTATCCTTAGTTATCCTTTTCTCCTTTATATTTCTTTATTTTCAAAATTCTCTTCCCTGCCTCTGGATTCCTTCTTACCTCCTGTTTTGACTTCATTCTTCTTCTTTTTTTCCTGTTTCTTCCTTCTTCTTTTGTGGATATGTTCCTTTTGAATAGAAACTATATTTCCTGTGTTCTCCATTCAGTTCTCAAATGGCTCTTCCAGAAAGTCAATATATCACTACTCACCATTTCCATAAACACCAGTGGCTCCCTATTACCTCCGGGATCAAATACAAAATCCTCTGTTTGACTTTCAAAGCCCTTTATAACCTACCTGTTTTCTCCCTACCTTTCTTTTCTTGCATCTTACCATCTTACATGTACTCTTTGATCCAGAGACATTTGCCTCAAACAAGGCACTCTGTCTCCTGACTCTGAATTTTCACTGGCTTTCTCTCAGGCCTGGAACTCCCTCCTTTCTCATCTCTGCCTCCTGTTTTCCCTGGCTTCCTTCAAGTCTCAGCTAAAGTTCCACCTTCTGCAGGAAGCCTTTTCTATTCATTCTTACTCTTAGTGTCTTCCCTCCGAGATCATCTCTAGTTTGTACACAGTTGTCAGCATTCTGTCTTTTCCATTAGACTATGACATCTTTAAGACTGTCTTCTATCTTCTTTGCCCAGTGCTTAGTAAACTGCCTGGCACACAGTAGGCACTTAATAAATGGTAACTGACTAATTGGTTGTCCCTATCAAAATCTCCTAGAAGTACTGAAAGTATACTGGGGACCCAACTAGCTTACCTTGCCTGGCTTTTCAGTGCTCAGATTTGTTTTCATTTGTAGAGTTGGCCAAGAAGTGTGTTATGTAACAGGTACATCAAGTGAAAGAGTGCCTACCAAAGTTTGACACTCAGAAAGTAGAAACGATGAATTTGGCATCTAAATCCGAACTAATCAAGGGGAGCCAGAGCACAGATACTGAATCATTCAAGATTCTCAAGTTAAGACACAGAGAGATATCTAGTAAAATATAATATATACATATAGCTCTCTTATCTATGTCTATTGGATATATACATTATACACACACACGCACACATACACATTATACACACTCACACACACACACGGGTGGTCATAGTGTAGAGACCACATAGTAGATATGTAGTATCATATGTTCCATGTATGTCCAGGATAACAACTCACAATTATATGGTACTTTAAAGTTCACAAAATACCTTCTACTACATATATAATAGCAGCTATACATAAGAGGTATTATGATATATGAATAAGAGTTCTGAAATTAAAGTCAGGAAAAATCCTGCTTCTGACACGTACTAATTATATGGCAATTGGCAAATTACTTCACCTCTCAATTTCAACTTCCTCATTTGCAATAAAATGGGGATAATATCTGTTGTGCCTACATCATGGTATTGTTGTGAGACTCAAGATAATGTATATTAAGCACTTTGCAAACTGTAAAGTCAGTTACTATAATTACTCTATAAACTAATGTTATTCTTATACTATATGTGGTATACATAGTATATATAATATAAAAATAATAGATAATTATATTGAAGTAAATATTTTCCTATTATTATTTTGATAATCACAAGAGATACTATGATTTAGATCACAAAACTAACAAACATTTTGTTTTATGATTGTCCTAAAATGGATCACCTGGAAGTTATCCTCCAGTAGCTACATCCTCTTTCTTTCTTGGATAACGCCATAATTAACACATTGTAATGGGGGAAAAAAAGGAACAGAATAATTATGAATAAAAGAATCTCATCTATGACTCAAGGTCTATCTGGCAAATGAAAGATTTCTGAGAAAAGGAGATAATTTCAACAATACTTAAATAAGTTTGTCACATTTTTAGCAACATGTGAATCTAGGTTAAATAAAATACAGGAAAATTAGTGCTCTGATCTAAATATTTTATTCAAAGCATAAAGTGAGAGGAGAACATTTTCTCATTTTTCTTCTTTTTCTCTTTTACTATTCTTCTTCTGGATAAATACTATCAATGAAGCTTTGTGAAATGCAAATTTAAGAGACCAATACATTAACATACAAAAATTGGAATACATAGATATTTTCAGAAAGGGAGTATTTTTACAGTGCTAATCCAAGCAGTTATTAATAGATCACTAGGTCAACAAGTTATCCTTCCTCAAACAAATCAATGTGAAGCCTCCCTCCCCAAAGGCCCACATAAACTTCCTAGGGCTCTTGGATGCCAACTTCAAAGACATACCCCCAATAGTTGGAATCTTTTTATTTTCAGTGCAAAAAAAAAAATCTATCTGCAACAATGAGTCATCTACTGCAGTTCAACAACACCCTGTCCTTTTCATGCCTCTGCAGACCTTCAAAAGGAAAGTACTATCTTTTAATGACACACATAAATCCCCTCACTGCCTAACTGCAAAACATAATTAATCCAGGCCTTTTTGTGCTTAATGAAACACTCTGAAAAACAACACAGTACTGGAGATAAGCCTATTACATATACCTGGGGGGAAAAATAACCTCTCTCATTTTGCTCATGTGCATTTTATTCATATTTCTGATCTCAGCTATTACATAGTAAGTATCAGCATATAGTAAGCCACCTGTTAGAATCATTTAAAAAAATTTTTTTAAAGCATAAAATTGTTTGTTTTCAAATATTGTCTTGTTCTTTAAAAAAAAACTTTCCAACTCGTGGTTGCAACAGGATATTTACAGGCAGTAATCTCTTAGACACAGCTGCTAGATATCATTTCACTTTCTTAGAATAATTTTTCATATTTTAATCCATATACAGTATATTACAAAGAATATTACTCCTCGGAGAATCACAAAAAGGAAATCTTCTAGGTTCCATTTATATACACAAAGATTGTCTCAGGAAAATTAAAAACAAAACCAACAAATTCTCACCTTAACTCAAGTGCCATTCTTACCTTTCCCCCTCCCTTGCCCCACTCCCCACCAATAATATTCAATCATTTTAGCACTATCTAAGGAATCTCAACTCCTCAGGGAGGAAAAAATAGATAGGTATAAAGCTTAATTTTCAAGACAATCCTAATGGTAGATAAAGTTTCTCTGCTCTAGTCATCAAGAGTACATACAACAAGTAAGAAATATAATACAGTTCCCTTACCTGCTTTGGTGTAACCCCAGGCATGCGGATGTCCAATGCAAAATCTGATGAATCAATAGGGATTACTGGCCTGCTGGTACCAAGGCATTCATTGGGAAATGATCTAGTAGTTTCTTTATACCTTAAAAGGGATACAAAGTTTTAAGAACCTTGAATACAATGGAAGTTTAATTCAATAAGAAAAATAGGATTTTCACCTACTTGTTATAAATCCTTCTAGATTAGTCTCATGTATTTAGACAAGATAAAAACACTAGACTTCCTAGCCATATAATAAATTCCCCAAAATCCTTTCTAACTCAGGGCTAATATAAAATAAAAATAGTCAAATGAAATACATTTAACACTTGTTTTTTACACAACTTAAAAAGGGAATTTGAGGTTCTGATTAATGAAATTACAACGTCTAATAAGTGAAAAGAATCAAAGATTGCCAATTTCCTCAACCTGAGAATAGTAACTACAGCCCAGTAAATTTTTATAACTCCAGCAAGGGGTGGTTCAAAGATTATTATGAATACTACCAGTCAAAAAAAAAAAACAGAGTTGTTAGTGCTAAGCAGAGTTCTAAGGGGGAGGAGAGATCATTGAATGAAAAAGAACTATGTGAATACATAAATATTTAACAGGGTAATTAATAGAAGTGCGTCTACAGCTCAGTGCTTTTTGGTGAGCTGTTGGAGTCCATGATCTATCCTACTCACCCACCTCCAAAGTCTAACAAGATATTTTATACTTCTAGATGTGATAGCAAGAGAGTGCTTAAGTTTAAACAACTGTAACGTGGTTTCTGGATAACTCACGCAGAGGAAAAGACTGGTATTAGAAATCAAAACTTCTCATTAGAGTTTTGAAAAACAGGAAACCTGGCTGCCATACCATGGGCTCATTTCAAAACTGAGACCTAGTTTTTTAGAAGTTACACCCACAAAAAAAACAAACATAGTGTCAATAAATTATATTTAGCTGGTACATGCTTCTAAGACTCACAGATGAGAAAGTGATTGCCCCTTTAAATAGCATGCACAAAAACCATCATAAACATCAGCTCTCCCGTAAAACCCACCTCTTAAAGACAGACAGTGGGCTTCTAAAACCCAAACAGCTGTTTTGAAAAACAAGGAACAGTATTAGCAGGTTATTAACGAGGCCAGCCATGTCCACCCTGCTGTTCCTGGCCCGATTAGACCAGTAGAAAAAAGGGCAGAGCAGCTCTATCGGGTGTGATCCCAACAATTAGGCAGCAGTGGCTGTATCAATTCACTACTTCATTATCGTGTGCTCTGCAGGCATCCCCCACAGCGCTGGACAAACCATCTGTCTTGGAAGGTGATGCACGATATATCAGGAAGGTGGACGATGCTATGTTGTTTCTTATCATTAGCTGCAAAAAAATCTGTTGGAAGAAATCTTTCACAGCGAGGTTACGCTGTACTTTTCTCCAGTCAAGAAACAGAAGCAAAGAGGCAGTCCTGATGTTTTCCCCCTCTGAAGCTTTTGGCTCTGGTGTTCGGTTTAGACCGGCAGGTGACTTATCAATCCACAGTAACAGAGGCTGTGAGGGATATCACACAAACCAACGTCATTCATCATTCGGAACCTGCAAAAATAGAAGCAGATAATGGATGACTAACACATTACAGCATTTGTCCTCAGCAAATCCCTGTTGAGGCTTTTTAATACATTAATACTTTCATAAGCTTTAGCCCAACCCAGTGAGAAATGCCTCGGCTGTTGATCTCTGTCTTTCTTCTTCCACCCCCACACAATTACCATTCCACATTTCCTTCCTTATATCTTTCCCCTCTATAACTAAAAAAGCCTTTCAAACCTCCAATAACATCTTGCTCTAGCTAAGAAAAGTTATTCACATAATAGATTACTGTCATATGAAAAAGACGACTCAAGGAGAAACACAGATTGAAGCTGAGACAGAGCATTCGGATACAACAGTAATCAGAAAATATTACGAGAACAAAGACATGCCTCTATCTGCACCATGAAGTCTTTTAAAAATCCTGTAGATTATGAACTATTAAGTGAGATGATATGGAAATAGAAGTGCATAACTTTCAAAAGGTACTTCAATTCTGGGGACATAAAAAAGGGATACAAATAGTAACTGTGCCATTTAGCTAGGATCTACTATACACTAACAAACACGTTATGACAAGGCTCCTCAGATTGACAAAACAATCAGGATATTTAGAACTAGGGTCATGTTTTAACATTCTGTGTAATGATTTCTACTAAAATAAACTTAAAATGACTAGTTTTAATATGCATGGCTTCTTGTTCCCTGAATACCTCAGTATAAGTTTTAAGGTTCACATTGAGAAGCCAGGTATTTAAAATCGTGCATCACTGCCTATAAACTTATACTTATACTTCATATTTGATTTAAAAAAAGGTTTATTAATTTAAAAGATTTATTAAAAGATTTATTTATTTAAAAAGATTTATTATACCATTCACCATAACCACAGGGGAAAACCACATATATCCAACCACCAGTCTAAGAAAAACAAACAATTGTTTGCTAGTATTATATAAAAGTTTCCAAAAATATACTTTATGTGCTACTCTTCAAATTCAAAAGATATTGAAGATAATTTAAAAAAATAAAATATGTGAAACATACAAAGTTTATCATAACGGTTTAAGAAACATACCTTACAGTAAATATAATTCAAGCAAGGCTAAACCTCCCCAAAAAATCTTGTTGCAAAAGAATTGTTCTTTGAAAGCTGAGGACCTAATTGCAGAAAGGGGACTAATGATAGTGAGGTATTAAGTTGACTGTAAAAAATGAAGCCAGATTAATCCTAATCAAAGGTGGGAACAAGTCACTTGAGTGAGTAAGAAGGAAGCAAAGTCATTGGACAATAACTGAACACTCTCCCAGCTGACCCTAAAAACCAATCAGTCACTCAATCAACATTTAATTAAGGACCTACTACCACCAGGCATTGTGGTAAGCACTGGGGGAACAAAAGACGCAAAAGACAGTAGTCCTTGCCCTCAAGGAGCTTACAATCTAATGGAGGAAGCAACATGCAAACAAATATGTACAAAGCAAGCTGTATACTGGATAAATAGGAAATAATTTAAAGAGTGAAAATACTGGAATTAAGAGGAGTTAGTGAAGGCTTCCTCTAGAAGGTGTAATTTTAGTTGGGTGACAGGGAGATCAATAGTTAGAGTGAAGGAGGAAGAACCTTCCAGGCATGGGGGATAGCTGGAAAGAATGCCTGGAACTGAGAAATGGAGTGCCTTCTTAGTCAAACAGCCAGGAGGCCAGTGTCACTGGATGGACATGTCAGGGAGTAAGCTGTAAGAAGAATGGAAAGGTAGGAGAAGGCTAAGTTATGAAGGGCTTTGAATGTCAAACAATGAATTTTGTTTTTGTTCTTGGAGGCAACAGGGAGCCATGGAGGGTGACATGAAATATTAGATTAAATTCAACACTTTGGAGAAAGAGAGAGAGAAAGAGCTAATAGTTAAGAAAGAATTCAGCTCTTTACTTTTTGAGGGGGCAAGGAGATTTTCTCTCCTGCTTCTCTCCTTCCTCCCTCCACTATTAGCCATGGCACTTAGCAAGCAAAACTCTCTGAGAATCCTCAGTCCAATAAATGGAGAGTCAGTCTGAAAGAGGTTCAGGTAAAATGGAGGGAGCAGAGATATACTCTCTAGGCAAATATTTCTACAGAGAGGCAGTCACTGAAGGCAGAAAAAACTTCAAGGGTCAAGATCCATGGCCACAAAGAAGAAAGCTAGCTACAAAATCAAGAAACATGGTAGTTCTGCTAATCCTTTGCAGAGAGGATTCCAGAAAGAAAAAAAAGAAACAAAGAACAGAACAAAGAAAGAGATAAAGAAAGAATTTTAAGGCCCTTTTTAAGCTAGCTGCCTTGGCAATAAGTTTTCCTATGTGTGTGCCTATCATCATACTCTTAAGTTTGTGCCCATTCCTCCAATGGATATTGTCAATCAATAAATAAGCATTTATTAAATGCTTACTATATGCCATCCACTCTGCATATTAGTGAGGTAGTGGACACCGGGTTTCTGGGAAGAATGTTTTGTAGCCACAGTTCTTAGTAATATTAATCTTATGAGTAAATCATGTTTCATTCCATGGAAGATTCTGTAGACAAGAGAAAGCCGTTTAAATTTATTGTAGTGTATATCCAGACTACACTGAAGGTAAGGTAAAAATTTAGGTTACCTAAGTGGCTCAGTATATACAGCACTAGGCCCGGAGTTAGGAAGTCCTGAATTAAAATCTGACCTCAGATACTTCCTGTGTGACCCTAGGCAAGTCACTTTCAACCCTGTTTGCCTCAGCTTCCTGGAGAAGGAAATGGCAAACCACTCCAGTACCTTTGCCAAGAAAACCTCAAATGGGGTCACAAAAAGTCTGAGGGAACAACAACAATAATAACAATAACACAATTATCCATAAAATTATTAATGTAAATGCACTTTATTATCTTATTACCCTATTATTAAAGGCCTTATAATTAAAATCACTGTTATTATTATTCTTAAGTAAGTTCAAAATGCACTGTGTTGAGATCATATGTAAAATAGTCTTTTATATGTATTCTCTTTTTCCAGGGACGTGGAAGTGCAGGTCCCACACGGTGTGGGAAGTGTTGCCCCAGGTGAGAAGGAACAAGTCAACGACGGCAGGCAGGTGTTCAAATGGTCTGGGAGGGTGGGTGGAAGGAAAGGGTGTGAAACTAGAGCATACGCTTTGTCTTAAAATAAGATACGAAAATATTGAATTTGATATGTGTTGTGAAGTCATGAGAACATTAGTCAAAGTTGAGAAATTTAATTAAGAATAATGTCTTGTTATTTTCCTTGTGGAAGAATTTTCAGGACAGAATGATTTGATGACTAACAGATATATTTAGAGGGAGTCTGTTACTGATCACAGGGACTGGAACAATAAAATTGGTTACTGCTGTTAAGTTAGTGCTGCAATAGCATCACAGACTGAATGGTACCAGTGAGATTTTCTATTATTTCTCTAATAGGTATCCAATCAATGCTGACTGTTGGGGGAGGATTACTTCATAATTACTGTGTCACATGATATGAGTCTAATACCCCTATGATGAAAATGACCAGTTGAATTGCTGCATCTTTGGGAATTTGTAGATGTGTAAGCACACAGGAGTCATTTTCCACATTTATTGAAACCTGAGCACTGCAAAATCTCATAAATTTCTATCCTTACTAATTTGAAATAAGTGTTAATTACAATAGAATGGAAATAAAGTTTCCCTTTACCCTAGGAAAATAGACTATTCTAAAGCAGAGTGTTTTGTTTTTGTTTTGCTCTTTATTTCTGTGGGACTATTGATGCTACTTGTCACCATAGGGAGTCTTTTTACTTAGTGTAGATACAAATGTAAATATCTTTTTATATATATGCATATATTAGTTTCAGGTATGTAAATATAATACTTTATATGTTTCAATAAAAATTACTTGAAAATATGTAATTATCTCATCTCCAATGACAGACCAAGGGCACAGTGATAGTGGCTCTAAAATATCTACTATTATAATTGGAGCAATTCTTCACTTACATTTATATAATCACTATGAATTAAATTGAAAAGCATTCTTACAGGGGGAGGGAGAATTCTTTGCTTCTTCAAAGAAAATACAACACTGCTGGGCTAATTAGTTCTGGAAAGGTAGTACTATTATTATTATACCATCTACTTTGCCATATGAAAAAGTTCTGGTTGACATCGATATTGTTGTTTTCTAAAAGTAGCTGAGCCATTGCCAATTCAATATCAAACTGCATCTACGTAACAATTCACAAGTGGATTTTTTTTTAACAATAAATGAATTATTTGGTGTTTGAGTGGTCATTTTACTTTAATATCTTGAGAAGTTACGGTAGAGGTTTTCTCCATCAATTCATATTTTAAGTTGCTGGTCTTTAAGAAAAGCCTTTCCCAGTCCTCCTGCCCTCAGAGATTACCTCTGATTTAGCCTGTATATATCATTTGTACACATTGAATTTTTCTCCCCAAGTTAAACATCAAGTCTACAAAAAAAAAAACAAGAATAACATTTAGTCACTATTTAGGTTTCTTTCCAAAATGATTAAATTATCTTTTATTTAGGGAAGGTTTGAAGAATGAGTTCAAAATTGGTACTTAATGATCTTCTAAAAGTTCAAAAGATTTTTCTTTTTCAGTAATGTGTCAGGAATTGAAGTTGCCAAAGGGCAATGGAAAAGTACATGGTGAACATGAACTGCGTACAAAATACCATAAACCATAATTGACACAGCAGAAGTAGCATAAAGGATTGTATCACGATGAAAAAAGAGGGGTTGAACATGCTGTGAGTGCAAAGGTTAACTGAAGGACACTCTGCGTTTTACTGGTATCCTTGTGATATCCAAACAACTTAAGGAAGACTCCCTGATTGTTGGGTAAAAACCGGTGACAGACTAATGATATGATTAGGATATGGATGAGGGTTACAAAGACTGAGTATATGCATGGATGGGTTGTGATCCACATCTCTGGAGGGAATACTCTTATCAATGAGATCACACATCCA